GGTGTGCGGGCGGATGCCACTCACTGGCTGGCTATGTATCATTATTATGATGCCTGCAAGTGTTTATTTTCGGCTGCCGGCAGCAGCATTTTTTTTCTGTTTTCTTAATGTGGCCGTTAACGTTGTCAGACTCTCTCATTACAGTTGTTGGAGTGCTCGAGCCAATGACAGCCGACGGCCGACGGCCGAAGACCGACGGTCGATGAGGCTGAGGTTGAGCGATTACAGCTGCGTTGGCATTAATTAAGCATGTTTGACTGTGAATGTCAACAGCAGCAAAAGCTCCTCTCTCTCCCTCTCTTTCTGTGTGTGTGTGTGTGTGTGCCTGTGTATGTGCGTTGACAGCCAGGCGATTGGCAAAAGGTGGGGCGTGAAAGACTGACAGGCGGTCGCTTTACTACTCTCGCTCGCGGGCCAAGTAATTAAGTGACGCAAGTCAATTTATTTTGCAATTAATCATTAATTTATGCGTACGAAAGTATAATTGACTCATATTTCAGCTCAGATGCCGAAAGAGCAAACGGGAGAGTTGGCTGGCAGAGAAAGAGAGAGAGCCCAGCGTACACCCCCAATGTTAATGTGCAAGCCGTTATCGTCATATTTCGATTGTATGTAATTACAAATGCGATGGTTGTCTTATTGCGGCCTGATATCCCATAATTAGATTTATTGATATTGCGCCCCATCCGTAACAAAATTCCGAATGCGCATTTCCTGCCTGCGGTTGAGTAATATGTTTACAGAAACCGCAGAAACCGTTTACTACGAACATCTTATCAATTACTACAACGGTCAGCGCATGAGCTGCTGATTCAATTTGTAAATGCGCACTGAAGTCAATAAGTCTAAATGTTAAAGATTACAATAATGAAAGATTTCAAGATTTTAACGATTCCCACGCCAATTAGTGCGCTACAAAATATCAATATGTAAAATTAAGCTACATTCTAGCTTGATTGCACCTATTCAATTCAATTGCTATTTGCAGCTCAAGTGCTACAGATGTATTGATTTTGAATAAAGTAATTATTATAAACATAAATTAGTGCCTGTGAGAACAAAACAAGTTAAGTTGGGTGAGCCTTAGTCCTTAAGAAATAAAAAGTTGAAAAATTGATTGTGAATGCAGCCTGAGCTTATCACTAGCTCTTTATATTCCATTTTACTTTTTCAAATTATTCAAATATATATATATGCCAGAAAAAAAAACCACCAATACTGGCATTATATCAACCTCAAGTGAATGTCATAAATGCTATTAAATTTGATTAAGCAATTTATTAATCATTTAATAATAATAAAAAATATCAATAAAAAAATTGCTTTCATCTAATTACAGTTGACTGGAAAATACCCAGTACTCTATACCTATAAATATTGAGGAAAAAGCATATATAATTTCCAATTAATACGCATTTTGTGATTTACTCAGGGCCAGGCAGAGATTTACAAAATATTTACAAGCTTGATCCGCACAAAGTAACCCCACATCAAAGTTTAGTGTTGCGAGGTCCTTTAAGTCGGTTCTTTGTTGATTTGTCTTATATATATAAACCGTTATTTTTTAAATCTTTTTTTTTTAATATACTTTTTTGCACATTAAAAGCGTGCATATTTGATGGAAATTTTGAATATTTTATTATGCCGCCGAATGGTTGATTGATGGCTGGCAGTGCAGCAGGCATACATAACTGATGCCATGTGTGCATAATGCATTAAAAACAACTTGCATTCATTTTGCAATTAAAAACATGTCAAAATGCAGCTGCTTTGGCCGCTGTCGTGTCGTCATTATTAATGTACCCAACCGTATAGCCTGTTCACAATTAAATACCAATTAGCCAGACGCTGTGGGGTCAAGAACTATTGACACAATTGGGACTTAGACTTGACTAAATATAGCGACTTGAAGGACTGACATGTGTGTCATATAAACCTAATCCTATTATTAGCATTTGCTGACAATTTAACAAATGTTTTTTTTAACTCAAGAGCCCTTGGATTGTACGTCAGTTACATTTACACTATTTTCCTAAAATAGTCACCTAATTTTATGAAAATGAAAGTGCTTAGTTGAAATTTAAAAATAACCAATTGACCAGTGCATATAAATGTGTTTATCTTATCTGACTTTTAATAGACCGTTTGACTACTTATTTCTACAAGGCTATCTGAACTATGTCAGAGATGGATTTAATCTTTTTATGTGTTCTCAAATATCGCCTAACTCGGCCACAAATGGTTGGTCGAAATGGAATGTGTGTTACTAAGAGCCGCCAGTGAATCAAATCACATCAAATTATGCTGATGACATAGGAATTTTTGGGACCCCTTGTGTTGTTTAGCTGACTGGTGGGCATTGGGGCATTCATTGCCGTCGCCGCCGCACTCATTTAAAATATCATCAATCATAGCCAGTTAGTTAATTGCGGCCAATTGTGTCCGTGTGTGTGTGTAAGTGTGTGTGCCCATAGAGGCGAGCCAAACTAATGGTCGGGCAAAGAGAAGTGAAAGAAAAACGAAAACGTTTAAAAATTGCCAGCGCAGGCAAATTAAAAATAAAGCTTAAGCACGCCAACTTTGGCCAGGCCAACTGACCCAAAGTGGCCGCCTGCAAAGTTCAAGTGAAATAAGCCATGACAAGGCAGCGCACCTCCCCGAAATAAAAAATAAAATAAAATCCCCGACAAGCGTCACAGGGCCAAAGCAATTTCGAGGGCTTTAAGCTTAAAAAGTTGCCGCAAAGTTTGGACTTGTTTTCAAAGCACTTTAGTGCGCGCAAGAAAAATCATAAAGTTCTTCGGAATCTATGCACAATTATTACAGGAAGCATTTCCAGCGGAAATGAGGCGAACGGTACTTCCGCCTCGCCTGTGCAACAAGGCTTATTTAATTAGCTGACATTTTCGCATATTTCTGCTAATGAGCCACATTTTTCGACTGGCTGGATAGCTCAACAGTTGGCCACATCGAACGGCCCGCTGTCAGCCTTATGTGGCACGCATCACTACACTGAACCTTTTTCAATTTGAGTGCGAGTTCAACCCTCGCACTGAACGACGACAAACTGCGCTGCCGAGTGAATAGCGAACCGAATATAGCCCGAAAATTGCGCAACATTTATAATCTGTCTTTGATTTATATAACGATTTCCGTTTAAAGATTTGCCAGCTACGAAAATGTAGCTGCTTACGTGGCTGACGTTTATCCCGGACACACCCTCTAACGGCAGACAGCTTTATGTGCTGACTTGACAAAAACAGCTCACACACACACACACACACAGATGCAGAGAGTGAAAGACTGGAAGGACGTGCCGCTAGCACTTGCTCCTTGCTGAGTTTGGCTGCCTGTTCGTGGCAGCACAATGACATGAATTCAATATAATAAATAAAATATAATGCTGTCAATAAAAATAAGTAAATACTTACGACTGTCAACGTGGGTCGTTCAAACTATTTTGAAAGACCTATCGAAAAAGTTTGGAATTATTGTTTTTATAACTAATAAAAGAGTAACATTTTTTATTATGGTTAAATATTTATGATATATTACACTGTCCTACAAATGAGTATTCCAATTTTGAATAGTAGCAACTTTTTTCCTTAAATTAAAACATTTTATCGACATCGTTGGTTTTAAAAATTTAGTATGCAATTTACAATAGGTTGGTTTTTAGTTTATTTCAATTAATTTATTTAATTATTTTTATAAATTTAATTATTTTTATATAGAATTCTTGCATATTCGTGCGAGTCCTTGTTGAGCAAGAAAAGAAAAATTAATGCGTGACAGTTAAAAATAAAATAATATTCAATTTAATTATCTGGCATTTTAAATCCCCAATTACGATAATTATTGCAGCCATTAAACATTGAAAATGTGCGGTACTTTGTAAACAACCCTTGTAATATTTGCAACAGCAACAGCACAAAACGTGAATACTTATCGGTTGGGGGTATTTCTAGCGAAAAGCTTAAATACATCACTCAAAATAGCTTCATAACGTTTGTGTGCCCATCAGATTTGGCCATGCCACACAGCAACTGCGAGTTCTCTGTTTCTGAGTGTATTTATGAATCTGCCAGCAGTAAGCGTGCTCAGCACACTGTCATCAACAACAGCTCCAAACAAACAAGTTTTGCGTTGAGGAGAGAGTGCAGCCGCGCGGAAGTTGCCTCAGATGCGAGCGTCTGTTATCCTTGTTTGTAATGTGCAGGTCTTAAGGAATTTGAAAATCACGTGGACAGGCAGACTGACTTGTAAAATTGTCTGTCAGTCAATTGGAGCATATACGATATCCCACTCGACTCGACTTGGCATATAAGGATTATACGCCCGGTGTGTTACTCAAATTGAGTATTTTCATGTGAATAGCATTCAGATAATGGCTGCTATCCATGGAAGTGGTTATATACTCAGAACTGGAGTGCAATTTAGTGCTATTTTTTCGACTTCTGCTGCGCTATACAGTGGTATGCATAACTATTTGACGAGGCAAATATATGAACACATATAATTGTTTTGTTTTTTTTATATTGTTGATATTCGTTTTGTTTCGAGCATAATTAATGGACAGTGATCCAGATGAACCAATTAAAAAAAACCAGTCAAAAGTAGTGTTCGGCAAAATCAATATGCCGACCACTGTACAGTATCCATTTCCAATGCACAGTTGTTCCCTTTCCCATGCACACACGCGCACATAGAAACTGCACTTATTTTGAGCGCTTATGATTTATTAATGCATCCAAGTGCGGATACTATGGCGGGGGCAATGCAATTTTCTAGTGTTCAGCTCTTGTTTACTTGCTGGGGCATTGGAAAATTGGCTTTGCACAAACTACTCGACAAATAACAACGCACTCAGTGCTTTAAAGTCAAAAGTAAAATACAAATAAAAAAACATTTAAAAAAAATGAATAGAAATGGAGTATAATATGAAAATAAATTATATTAACGCAAGGGACTTGTTTATTTCCAGTTTGTGCTCAGTGTGCCATTGATTTTGATCGAGTTGTCAGTGCTTGGCTTTCAGCTTTTACTTTAAACTAATTCAATTTTCACTTGTGTCGGTCACGAAGTTAAACCAATTTGCAAGCGAGAGCAGGCAAACAAAAATAAAAAATTAAGCCAAAGCAACAGTTTCGATTCAATATAATTTTACAACCGAAAAGTTACTCAGTTTGTTGCATGTAAGTATTAAACAAGTCATTTTGTCTAGAAAATGAAAACAATTAAAACAAGCAGGCAACAATGCAGCAAGGCATGCGGAGACGCAAGTCACAAAACTCTGCGCATGACACAGGTAAATTCATTATAGTTGCCAACCAAACATACGAGCGCACACATACAAGCACATGCACACATACATAGTTGCCAACACTGTCGAACGCTGTGGCATGAATATCCTTTAGCTGCGGCTACGGCAGATTCTGTGTGTGGCACATCAATTTAATTAGCAAGCGCATAACTCTATAAAATATTCAAGCAATTTCCAACGAAATATGCGCACAGCAGCTGAACTGGACAGCCAATTTTCCCCAGAGACAGCCCAGCAGCAGCACCCGGAGCAGCAGCACAAAGGGGGTAGCTGTGGTAACTGCTGCTGCTGCCTTTTAAATTGCTTCGCTGCTTTATCGCTGTCTTTATTAACACCTTATCACATTCAGCTCACGCTCAACGAGTTCTACAAATTTCAGCAGCTTCTTTGCTCGATCATTCAGTGTGGGGGAACTTTGAGGCGCAAAAGTAACGTAAATATGAATGACAAATTTCACAGATTTAAAAGCCAGATTGATAACAATATACACACACGCACACACACACAAACAAAACATAAGCGCCAGTATGCTACAAAAGAAAAGCGTAGCATAGGGCACATTCAATTATGCTGACAAGTCAAAATGGCTAAAAGAAGGGCGCGGTAAGGCGTAAGGCAAAGCAGCAGCTAGTCAGCCACGTTTAATACCGAGCTTACACACACACACACAGACCACCACAGAGACACACACACACGGATAAAACGGCAGAACGCAGCAAAAGCTGAAGAGCAAAGCGGAGTCGAGTAAGGGAACGTACAGGAGACAACGTTTATGATGACGAGCTGGGTGCAGAGCCGCAAGGCAAATTATGCACAGGCAGAAGCAGTAGCTGAAGCAGTGGCAGGAGCTGGAGTCCTGATGAAGATTCGACAGTAGCTTGTTAAAATACCAGCAGGCAGCTGCCAGTGGCCACCTACTCCCAGCTCCACAAGCACACACACACACAAACGCACAGTGTGGAATGTGAGTTGATGTCAATGCAATAAAACGAAGCGAAACGAAATGAAATAAAATGAAGTAAAAATGTTGGGCTAGTAGCATAGCTGACCCGGCCAGGACACAAGCAAGAGCCAAAGCCTCAAGGATAATAATGGAGGCGAAAAGAGTTTCGTTCACAAACATAACGCTCACATATGCAACTTTGTTTACACGTGTGTGTGTGTGCTTGTGTGTGCGTGCGCCTGTGACAGGCCAGCAAAACTTAAATGCCATTAGTAGCTGCCGCTTTGGAGCTCGTCTACGTCCTCGTCAGCGTCCTCGTGCTCTGGCACGTCCTCACGCCCCGCCACATGCGGGGGGTAAGGCAAAAGCGTGCCAGGTAACTGGCACACACAGTCACACACACAAACACACACACACACAATCCCACACACGGAGTGGCTCACACACTAAGCCACTATACGTGACTTAGTCGTGCGCCACAGCAGTATCTCTCGCTCTCTATCGCTCTCTCGCTCTGGCTGCTTTGCTTTCTCGCTCTCTCGCAGTCGTCGACGCCGTCGGCGTCGTTGTCGTCGTGGGGGCAGGCAATTGAAATAACTTCTTCCGCTTGCCTGCCTCGCTTCCGCTGCTTGAATATGTCCACCCTAAAATCATACCCTGCCGTACAACCCTCTGCCCACCCACATAACCTTTTGAGAAGCTCAACAGACTTGAATTGCCGTTGCTTTTTTTCTGTTGTCATTTATTTTGTTTGGCTGTAAGTGATTTTACAAGAGCTTAGCAACATGCTGCTGAGCAACATGTTGCGTCAACTGAAATGTTGAGAGCAACTTGTGCTCAATTTGCACTCTCTGTGTGTTGTCTGCGTGTGTTTGTGTCTTTACGATTGTTTTCTGTGTGTGTGTAAGAATGGGGGTAGGCAAAGGTTAGTCCCTTTTATGTGTCATCCCCATTGTAATAGTTGTTGGTTGTTGTTGCTGCCATAAAATTACATTTAAGCACGCATTACGTTATACGTTATTGAGCTCGCGCTGCTTGAAGCTGACATTTGGACAGCCACTGTGTGTGTGTGTGTGTGTGTGTGTGTGTGGCGCGCGTAAGCGGTTGTGTGGGCATGACTTTGCACTTTGTATTAATTTAAATTGCTTTTGGGATTGTCAACTGTGAAATATGACACATAACGATGGCATTTAAATGGCATGCAAAGTTCCTGGCAACAAAACTACAGATTTTGCGTAAGGCTTACCCTACGTTATGTGTGAATTGTTGTGATTATTATTGTGTACATAAATACTGGTAGTTTATATATATACCACACACTAAATCCAAATTTAAGACTTTTTCTCGCACTTGAAATTGGGTTTGTATGTTTTACAATCGTTTCAGTGCGTGGCTTTTGCCCTTCGTTAAATTAAGTTAAATTGTGTCACACTCAAATGTTGTGCCATAAATTCATGCCAACACTCGCAGCAGTCACACACAAGTGTACACAAGGCTGCGCAAAGCGGAACCCCTGGCCTTGCCGAACTTATGTGCCTGCCTGCCTACACTCCTGCCCGCTTGCCTAGTTGAATCCTTTACGAGGTTACGCTTGTTGTTGGGGATTTTGCTATGCAAATCAGAACGCAGTGCGCCAGGAAATGGCAAATGGGCGGCCTGGCGGACAGACACACAGACGTATGGGAAGGAGACGGGCGCGTTGTGAGCTAAATAAGTTGAACAACATTCCGCACAGGCGGCAGTAAGTGGTGGACGATTCCGTTCTGTATTTTATTGCATTTATGCGTTGTGGAGCAAATAAGTTGAAGGTTATTTCCAGTGGCAAAAACCATTAACAAGTTGACGACAAATGCGCAGCTGTTTGGCTAATTTCGTTTGCCTATTTAACACGCACATTTTTGTTCTGTATTTTTCAGCCACCACGCCCACATAAAAGCCAATTAGCTGCGCCCTAAATGATGCCCGAAACTGAACGCGATTCGTTGGTAGCAGCAGAAATGATCAGCGGCGCCTTGGCGCATGGTTATGGCATAGTCGTCGACAAACAGCAACAACATCAGCAACAGCAGCAGCAACAACAGCAACTGCAGTTACAACAAAAGCAGCTGCATTCAGATTCAATTCACACCGTCGGCGGCGGCGCATCAGCCACGGCTTACAATATGGCCATCAATTCCTATGTCTACAGCAGCTCATTGACCATACCGCCCTCGGCGGCATCAATGGTCAGTCCCAGCAGCAGGGAGAAGCTGGTTAATATGCCACGCATGCGCGATAACAACAACAGCAATGGCAGTAACAGTGTCAGTCCCATCTCCGCTGCCAGTTCACCCACAACGTTTCTACAGAAGCAGCTGGAGGCACCACCCAGTCGTCAAACGGCTCCCCGAGAACAGCAACAGCAGCAGCAGCAGCAGCGACGCTCCATAACACCCTTTCCCACCAACTTAGCCACGTCGACATCCAGCCATACAGCTAGCTGGCATGCTCATGTATATGCGCGTCCGCCCAATCGACCCACACCCCACTCTATTGCGGACATACTGGGCATGGCCATGGCCGATAAACTTGTGTACGAGGGCGCTGCAGCAGACGCTGCGGCTGCAGCCGCATCTACAGTCACCGCCAACAGTTCGGCCACTTCACCAAAGAGCATTCTGCGCAACATTGAGCAGCAGTACGCGCAGCAGCCCCAGGAGCAGGAACAGCGCACACATCGCAGCGCTTCAATGAGCGATGTCAGCGAGGAGGAAAGCGCAGTCAACGTCAACTCCACAGCAGCGGCGGCAGCAGCAGCAGCAACTGTCACAGAGACAGCCCCGCTCGATCAGCCACTGAATCTGTGTGTGGCCAAAAAGTCGCGCGACAGCAACACCTCGTCACCCATGCCGGCGGCCAGGCAAACCCAACTGTTGGGAAAGACAAGCGCCAAGAAGGGTAAGTGAGACATATTAACATATATCTTATTTATCATATGAATATAAATAAAAATCTTGAAAATTATAAAAGACAATTAAGAAATTAGCTAGCAGAAATAGTCGAACTGCGTTTTCCAAAAGGTTTCTGATAATTTAGTGACACGAGTTACAATGTATGTGCTAGTGTATTTACCGTTCGGTGAATTTCAGCTTTTTATTTTTAAATTTTCAAATCGGCGCCGAGCAAATTTATGCAGCAACGCTTGACGAGCCTGCCAATTGAGCGCAGCGCGAAGCTCTCAACACGCTTCAGCGAAGCGTGCGGCGGCTAACGCCGCGTATGCGTGTTATGCCAAATTAAATGACGCCCGACCGCGGCTCAAATTGCCACCACTCGAATAAAGGTCCTACATTTTGGCAACGGATGATTGCGGGTCATCAACATTCGAGCCGAATTTGTCAATTAAATTTCAATGTACATTTTTACCTATTTAAATGCAAGTTCAGTTCTTAGTTAGGGCTATTCCATATCTGTTAAGTTCAAAAACTTATCATTTAATGCTAATTTCCTTAGAAAATTCCACTTGGGTACTTAACATTCTTCTGCTGATGAAGTTGTTGGAAATCAGAAACGCTTTTATCTGTAATTTTAATTTACATGAATCTTCAGATTGACAAAATTTTGTCATACCATCTTCATAGCTTCCTTAACATTTTAAAAACTATACGAATAGGAATTACGATTGAGATCAAGATTTTCTCTAATTAGTTTCTAGATATTAGATCTATTAAATGTTATTGACTTATTACATGTTTCAACTTTTAAATTTTAATATAATTTAATAATCAAATGTAAAATATTAATTTAACATTTTAGATGCAACTTCAATATTTCACAATTATCTGATTTACATCCGTTGCAAAGTACGTTTTAAATATGACGTCAATGGGATTCTGTCTGAAATAACAAACTATAAATATGAATTCTCCGAACATTAATTAACTAGACATTGTTTTTTTCGAATGTAATATTGTAGCCAATCTGAATTTACGCTGCATTAAAATTGTTTAATTCAGCTGTGGGCTGAGTGCGGGGCAGAGGGTGCCGAGGGCGGCATGAAAACAGCAAATTCAATTAGCAATTGGCATACGGCAATAATAAGCAATAACAATCAGCTCGAAATGAGCAAACTTGAGCACAAAATTGTTGGCTGTTGTGTTATTGTATTGTTGCCATTAATTGCTCAATGCTGCGTTCAACTTTTATTGTTATTAAAATCACGTACTCGACTTGGCAAAAATAAACAGCAAGTGCAACAACAAATCCTATAGTATTTAGCGCTCATATTCGCATTTAAAATGAATGAATGCCAAGCGACGTCGTTCAAGTCTCGTTTTGTGATTTGCAACTGTCGTCTGTTAATTTTCGCTTAATTACTTGTTAGCAGGCACCATAAATGGAAGCGGGGCAGCCAGCCGAAGAGCTGTCGCGGGGTGCCATTAAAATGTTGTCGCCAAACGGGCCTAATGAAACGACATGGCAATTGCCAATTGGCGAACAACAACGAAAAGAACCCAAAACACAACAACAGAAAAAGAGCAAAACAAAACATCAACAAACAGCAGCAACAAAAATGGCACATCTAATCAAACATTTGTGTTCTGCTTCTATTGCTTTAAGGTTTTTCTCTTGTTTTCGCTTTGCCATTTAGTTTTATTGATTTCGTGCCACTGGGGCGCCCTTTGCGCTCCACTAGACTCGCTCTAAGTGCCACACTGTCGTGTCTCGTTATCTAGGGGTGGCTTTAAGTGGCACGGACTGCTGCCAATGCTGGAGGCGACAACAGCGGCGGCTGTCAGTCGGCCGCCTAATTAATCACAGTGTCATGCATATGCGCCCAGCCATATGAGGCCGTGCGGCCCACGCGGCGTATTAGCAATAGCGACAACAACGACTTCTACGACGAACGTTCGCATTTAACTGTCAATTAGATTTCAATTATGCATTGGCAATTGGCGGCAGCCACAACCAGACTCATGCCAGACACGTTTTGGCCCCAGCCAACCAATAGGTGTAGCTGAAATACATGGCGTTGTTAACACTTGTTTGTTTGTTTGTTTTTTTTTTCTTACTCAACACGACACGACTGACAACCGCAACAACAACTCAGAAATTCTTCACGATGGCGAAATCCACTATAGATTGACCTGTCAACAGGTCTAGATTCATAAGAACCTTCACGGTACTATTTTTATCTATTCCCAAAAATAAATAAGTGTTGGGTAATACGCAATTAAATTTAAAGAAAATAAGTAAGACGCGGTTTCCAATTAGGTTAAGAATTATTCTTTAAGTTTAGTCAATTTAAAATAAAATATTATCAAAAAATGTTTTTGATAATAATAATAAGATAAAAACCCTAGTTTTGTCTTTAATTAAGGAACTTTAAAAAATAACATAGGGAAAAGAAAATCATACTCAAATAGTCAATTTTGCCTAGACATGACAAATACACCCTTAACACTCAATTTATAGGATATAAACAGAAACAAGTTAGGCAAGCAATGCCAGGTTTTTGCATATGAATCAAATAGAGAAAAACTGAACTGAACTGCAGCTCGGCGGTAACAATGCAGTCAGTTAACCTGACCGATTGGCCAGTCTGTTTTTGTAGCATTTGACGGGCTAATTGCAAAAGTAAAAAAATGTTTATAAAAAATAGCAGCGGACCAAAGCTGAATTGAGGTTAAACAGCTGTGTCTCGCAATAAAAGCTTAGCAAATAAAGATACAAACACAAGCAACAACAATGGCTAATGGTTTTTTTATACCGCACCTCTTTCACAGAGCACTCGGGCAAGCCGGCATCGAAGAAGAAGAAACTGTCGGTCGATCTGCCGCCAGCCATTAGTCCCACGGGCAGCAGCGACAGTTTAATGCGGGATAAGCTGCTGGCTAATAACAGTTCGCCGAACAGCACAGCCCATGCCGCCCAGCCGCAGAGCAACAATAGCAACCTGGAGACTACCGAGGATGACTCCGACTCAGGCTCGACAGATGCGCGTCGCAAGAAGAAGGCACGAACTACCTTTACGGGCCGCCAAATTTTCGAACTGGAAAAGCAGTTCGAGATTAAGAAGTATCTCAGCTCCAGCGAACGCACCGAAATGGCCAAGCTACTGATGGTCACCGAAACGCAGGTAAATATTAAACATATTTATTCAATATTTAAAAAGGGCTAAAAAGGGGCTGAAATGCATTAAGTCTTAGCCAGTTTGAACATTTAATTACCAACATATTTGGCGCTATTGCGCACGTTTAATTGAATCAAGCTTAATGAAATTCAATAATCCCCATCTAAACCAAACATTTTAATTATAATTTAATTATGACAGCAAATAAGTGTGATTTGCATTTCAACAAAAAAAAAGTAAATATAAAATTAATGAACGTGAAAACAAATTTATGAAAGCTGTAAGAATATTTGTAAACGTTAATTAATAAAAAAAAAGCATATAGTGTAGGTTTGTAGATTTGTAGGCAACCCCTATTAGTGTATGCCGAATCATTATTCTTTGTCAATTTTGAACATTATCAAGATATATTGTTATGCATATCCGATGCATAAATAATATCCAAATGCACTAAATTATTAGCTGAACCACAACCAAATGTATTTAACTACAATTCCTTGCGGCTGCTCAAGCAAATTCCGCTCTAGAGCTTATTAAAATTTAATTAAGGCTAACAATAAAGCAGTTAAGGTGTGATTTTGTTGAATGCCTAAGTAAATATAAGTGGAATTATATTGCCAAATTATAGCTGTAGTTATTGTTGCTGCAACTGCAACACGAGCTGGCAGCTGCCACATGCGACAAGGCAGAGCGGATATGGTAGTCAACATTTTCGTTTTGCATAGTGAAGACAACAACGCAGACAACACACTCAAGTAAATAGAGATTTACTGACTAATTAGAATAAATTAACTGGTACAACATGAATGTGGCAGACACGGCCGCCAGAACAGTTGCAATTAAAGTACATTCATCTTCTTTACTAAGATCCAAAGTTATAGCAATATATTAGGGCAAGGACTGCAAGGCAATTTATTCTTTGCCACAAGGCAGATGCAAGCTGGTCAAATGTATTTTAGAAAGATTTAACTGCCATTTGCTAATAATTACGTATATACATATATGCGCAATGTATGCGGCTTAAATTCAACTCAAAATTGCATTAATAGGATAGATTACGTATACGCCGGGTGCACTCAAAAGCCAATGGACTAATTGGCGCTTAAAGAGTGCCAGTATGCAAAATACTTAACTGGTGAAACAAAAACAATAGCTATGGCAACAACATGCTGTTGGTAGCACGTCAAGGATATGAGCCTGGCCATATCCTCGTCGTCGTCGTAGTCAACGGCAACCGCATTGAAATGTCTGCTTAATTAAATTACATTTTCCATCAAGTCAATTAATTACAAGTTTATATACAAACACTAAGCGAACGGCAAGCCATGTGATGTGTTTCTCTCTAGGTGTGTGTATCTGCCATGGAGCTATGTTCTTTGTCTGTGTGTATTTTCACTGTTTATCTGTGTGAGCCAACATGTTATGCATGTCGACATGTTCAAGTGCTTTATATGTATTATTAATATTATAAGCTCGGCAGCCATTTATCATCCTGACCACAGAGCAAAACACAGCTTTAGAGGTGTGTGTGTGTGTGTGTGTGTGTGCGCGCATGCATGTGTGCGTGTGTGTGCATGCGTGCTTGTGTTGCGTGTATATCCTGCCAACAGGCAGCCAATGTTCAAGTGCCCCGCACTGATTTCATGGCACTGTTACGGCTGCTACGCCTTCCTGCACACGTCTGTGTGTGTGTGTATTTGTATATAAAACATTACTATCCACATAAACATCTATGTGTTAATCACAGCAATAATATCTGCAAATTAACTGCATCAACTGCTGTTGTGCCAGCCAGCCTCGGTCTGTATCCACATGAGCGTCTGGGGTATACGGGCCACACTCTGCAGTGTACGAGAGGGTTGCAGCGCTCAAGAAAGAGCTAAGGATATACAATTCGAAATATTGCATAAGTATTTAATTTCAATTTACCTGCCAACTCTGGGTTGCACAATTGACATTCAAGATGCACAATATTGTGTGTATAGCCACGTCAACGATTTGATAACGTGCTACTTGAGTAATGGAAAATGTATACAAATGCGTATAGAGTTTAAGATATGTAACAGCTCTCAAATTGAGAAATAACTCGCTAATGCACAAATCTAATTAAATGTTTTTATCACCGACGGAGATGATAGGTAATATCAAAGCATAAGACATAAGTTCTTGTCTTTTATAAGTTAATTGAAATATTAATTTCATTTGTGGTTTTATTGTGTCCCTTTATATTAGATAAAATTGGAATTCGAAACTTCTTTTGCGAACATTTTATCAGAAAGAATTAACTTGCACATTAAATAAATGCTAATAGAAACAACAATAGTTGTAATAACATATGTCTTATTAATAAAATAAGTCAAAACGGCCTTAGAACTCGCAAAAATAGAGCACATGCATTGGTCTAGGTAATATATAAGAGTTTCCCCTGAGAGTGTGGATTAAATATATTTATAATAGACAACACATATGATGTTTCTAATACCTTTTGGTCCTATTTGTTCACGCGAAATTGAATACTATTTTACCAGTTTATTAATTTGATAAATCAATGCAGTTGCACACCTACCATTAAGGAAGATCTGGTATGCCCAATCATCATTCCTCATGTGAATCACTGCATGCGCAAAATAACTCAGTAATTGATGTCTTATGCGAGCGCCATTATGTTAGTTTATAATGCGGCATATAAGAAACTTCATATTGTTTTCATTTCATTTGCACTGCCAAAACTTCTGTTAATTGCACTCACAAATCTTGTGCTCTCGCACAGTCTAGACGTGCCACTAGCTTGTAGCATATCATATACACACACATATTCTTATAAGTAGTATGGGACGCAAGCAATTTAATTTTTGCTACAAATAACGCAAAGTGTATTCGCAACAATGTTACGTTACGCATACGCCTCATTAAACCAACGAACTGACCGAAAATAAACAACAGGCGCTGACAATGAGCTGCAAAAAAGAAGAAACTGCCAAGCAGTAAACTAGAAAATCAGAATAAAATAAGTCGGGGTTGCCCGACTGGGAGATACTTGAGACTTGAGCTGCTTCTTCCCTAATCCCCACACTTTTTATGCCTTCGCCATTTACTTGGCTGTTTATTGTCCAATCTCTGAGCATTTTAAGCATATAAATATAGCACAGAGATTTGTGTAGAGGGAGAGAGAATATCTACAAAACTAAGTATATCCAAATTTTATGGGTTTTATGCCCTAGATTAAATGCCCTGTTAACCAAGTCTAATTATTCTCATGGCAGCTATATGACATAATGCTCCGACATATGTTTTGCCTACAAGAGAAAGAGCTTTGCTTTGTTATGGTATGATAACGGAAAGACTTATTGGCATAAAAACATACTGAACAAGAATATATATGCCATATGGGCTCGATACGTCGCCTATGTGTTACACATTTCGGGACAAAGTTATAATACCCTCTACAGGGCTATGAAATGGCCAACAACTAAAAGCGTCCAAAACAAAGTGGCGGCTATCATAAAAATCTCTTTAAATAGACTCGGCACAGACACACATAGACTGTAAAAGCCACAAGCCATGACTATGTTCTACGGTGGCCCAAACGCACGCATGGCTGCAGCGCCCAGGGTCCAGGGCTGCGCCCACGTGTCTGCATCGTCTGTCATCAACAAACTGTAAAATAGCCTTAAGCCAGATAAAAATCAATTAATTACGCGTGCATGTGACTGCCCCGACTATCCTCAGCCTCGCCCTTTAGCGCTGCAATGAAGCGACGCATCATGGCATAGTTGCACACGCGCACACACAAACACACATACACACACACACACACACTGACAACATTGTAATTGTGTTACGATTACCCAACGAACGTCACGCGCCAAACGCAGCAAATTGCATTTGCATATTAGTGCCAGTGGCTACCGCCAGCCATGGGCAAGTATGAGGGGGCAAATATGGGGCTGACTGCCCGGGGTTAGGGGGCAAGGGCGAGTTCTATGCGTGCGCCTATTTAAGCGGTTTACGGCCAAACTGTGCTCTCCTGACAATTTGCATTGGACATTTCATTTTAAATGTTTGCCGCCGCTCATAATCCGGCGTAATTGCTAGCCAGGTGGCCAGGACTGTTTCAACGTTGCTAATGCAGCTGCATTTTGACCTCGCACACACACACACACACACACACACATGACTGAGTGTATATTTAACCAATGGAAAGGCTGACTCGGCTTGTAGCTGGCATTTGGCCAAGTGGCAAATACGATAATTAAATTAAATTGCTGCCACAAGCAGCACAAACAAGTCAAATGGCAATTCATCATTTGATGACCCGAACAGCAGATTGTCCGTTTGTTGCTTGTTGTTATCATTGTTATAAACTGTATTTAAATTTATACCAAACACTACTTGTTTATGTCATAAAACTGAACAGCTATTATGGCCTCAATTTATTTTAAATATGCCAATAAAACTGATACACGATAAAGTAAGCGTGTCCATGATTAAATATAGATTGAGGCAACGCTGCGTATGTGCAATATTTATGCCATTTATATGTGCATTTATCAATCATACACAAACATTGTTAAATGCATTCAAAATGATGTCGGTCCCCAAGCATACACGCATGTAAAATATATATTGTTTTTTAATGCTAGCAAAAGAGCAGAGATAATTTGTTCAATTTATTAAACACCGATAAGGCAGAAATTGTAATCAAACAACAACACTTACAATTTGCATTTATAATTGTTGTCGTTTATAATTAATAAATAATAATTCTTGTTTTCGGATAATTGTAAATCTCTTAAACACATTTTACTCAAACAGTCTATTAACTTTGCAATTTCTATATTTTTTGTTTACAATTGCATCAAATTCCTTCGGCTAATTGGCAAAGCAATTATGTTAATAAACATTTAATTGCATGCCAATTATTGAATATGTTATGCATTTTATAACAAAACTGGACACAAATTACTAAACACATAATACGTTTATGCTGCGTAAAAACATAATGA